TTTATAGGGGTGTGCGATAGACTTACCTCCGCGTAGTGCACTCTGGGCAACGTATGCTCATGCACCAAAAAGTCTATTAATCGGCAGTTGACTTCTGACTTCTAACTACCATGACCCCACTGTATGTCATAGTCGACCACTTCTACAGTACTCACCTTACCCTACTCTCTATCATTGTGCCTGTCTCTTTTACGTCTGCAAATCACTCTTCGGTCCCCCTCTTGAACTTTAATGTTTCTCCGCTCTGTGAAGCCTGAAGTCAACTAAAGGGCTAATGATAACCATCAAAACACCTGCCATTTGATATAAATAAATAAATTCTCTTTTATAGAACTTTACATTGTTGAGCACTAAGTGTTGAAGACGAGTTTTGGAGTTGCCTATTGTGAACAATGCCTTATGATCTCTTGGCAGAATAAATACCGAGTATACATTGCCCGGTGCTTCATTTCCTATCTCGCACATTGATTGTCTCTTCTGGGGCTAGAGTATGACAGATATGTGCGATCGTTTTTGGGAGTCATGGAAAAACGAGGGTAATGTCCGCCTCAATTCGATAACAGGACACGTCAGCCGTGCGAACCAAGATTGTAAAACTGAATTGTGGTGTGTCTGTAACCTTTCCAATTCCGGTTACATCATCGACTCAAGTTTCTAGAAGGCCTCTTTGGAGATTTCGTTGTGTATCCTTGTGCAGAGTTAAGTTAAGGGGAGCTCTATGTTCGCTTAAATAAGGTGAGAAAATGAGGAAATTAAAATTCTCAGTTTTAGAAGAAATATTGGAATTCGGAAAGATGAAAATTATTTCTTCAAGCAATAGTATTATTAAAACAATACTTTTTGGAAATTTAATATTTCATGTCTTCTTCCCACTATTACTGAAATCCCGAAATACTGATAAAGCGTAATAATGCCATTATGTTCACTACTCAGATTTATGCTGTGTTGAAATGGGATATTTTTTGTTGCAACAACAGGAAATGTAATTTTTTCCTTACTTCCGTCATATTTATCGGCGTTATTGACCGTAAAGCCTATGTTCAAAACCACATATCTTGGGCTTTCTTGGGCAACTGAGTAAGAAACAGGCATTCTATTTTTATTTTTTCAGTCATGGAAAGTACATTATTGCGAAAACAATGAAATCGGTTGTTATGTGTGAGAAAATTGATTCAAAACGTACAATTGCCGATTAATCTGATGACCTCTGTTCAGTTGGTGAATGTATTGAGCGGCATAAGCAATAATCTTCAATCGATTGACACATTGACGACAATCATTAGTTGGGAATGTTTCTCACAGCTCCTTGTAACGTTCTCTTGTTGTTTTGGGTGCTAGGCGTGTGTGTGTGTGTATCTAACGTGAGAATTATTGTATCTCCTTTGGAATGAATACCTGCATGTACTAAGTGGTATTTATGATAATCGAATTAAAATCCGTACAGAATAAATATCACCATATTCAGTTATAGTTGGTCAGATTAGTCAATTGCAGAGTACAATTATTTCCGTTCACATGTTAGAACGAAATGGATTTGATAAAGGCTCAATAGTCCCTGCAACGGCTAAGTCAGTGCTCAACTTGTGTTTGCATGCAAATTCAATGATAACAAATGTGCTTTAGTATTAGTTCAGATCGAACACAGGATAAACAGTTATGCCTTCGCCACACCCAAATTCACATTTTAGCATCAATTGAGCTCAAACGCTGGTAGGCTAAAATGCGGTTTCTAGACTGAAAGAATTCAATTGAAGAGGAAGGCAGAAATGCCAAATTACCCTTGAAAGGAATAAGTTCAACACCTGACTTGTTTCATAGGTCTAGCGCAGTTGTGATAGATTTATATCAAATGGCAGGCATTTTGGATGTTATCATTAGCCCTTTAGTTGACTTTAGGCTTCACAGAAAGGAGAGGAACGTCAAAGCGAAAAAGTCGAGAGGTGAGCGGGGGAGAACAGAAGAGTGTTTTAAAGATGTAAAAGGGACAGGCACAAAGGTAGATGAAAGGTGAGGTGAGAACTGTGGAAGTAGTCCAATATGACATACAGTCGGGTCGTGGTAGTTTGAAGTCAGTTAATAGGCTCTTTTGCCGTATGAGTATATGTTGCTCAGGGTGCACCACGTGACGGTAAGTCTATCGCACACCTCTCAATTGTGTTATGTAAGTCTAAGACTAATTACAATACACTACTTGGGATTGTGCGCTTCTCTGTAGCCGACTTGATTGGATTTCTGGTGTTATTATTGTCCAGGTACAAAATTTGTCAACAAAGGGCTTCAATCTTGAAGAACATTTGGTAAATTACTCTCCGATGTGCCTTTGCTTTTAAAAACGCTTTGTAGACATTTTTTTTCTAAGAACTTAAAAGGTTGCCAATTGTTCACCCTCAGTGCCTTCTCTCAGCCTCTTTAAAACGGAAGTGCAATCGTACTTGTGTTCTAAAGAGCTTTTTGTGTGGTCGGACACTGAGATCGCGGATATCACACACATTGAAGCATTATAATTTCATGATAAGTAGCTGCTTCGATCTCTTTGGCTTCACCGTTGACGTAGCATAATCTATCAATTCGATTAGTGTTCATCTATCGTAATTACTAACGGTGTTTATTAACATAGATCAATTAAGGAATGATTGGAAGTGAGTTGCTTGATTGAAGGGCTTTTTGGGGATGTTTTCTTTAGATAAGTTTCGGGCATATTTTATTACAATCCGAACTGTTTTCTCAATTGCATAGCTCTTCAAAACAAGTAAGTGAGGGAAACCGGAATGTTTGTACACATTCACTTAATCTGGCCTTATTATCGATACTTCTGACGATGATATTTATATTTATTGTCATGACGTTCGTGCAGGATTACACGAAATTTATTTTTGTGAATGAAAATTTTCTCTACTTACAATCCAGTATTCACCTCAGATAATTAAGCACGTTTCAAATTTTTTATTGCATTCCAACCATTTTAGTTATTCGGTTAAAAGTATCCCTTTACAAATTGCAGGGGAAAGCTGTTTGCTCTTCTAAACTGTGGGGATAAATTATTTAACAGTTCAAACCTGTCCGTTTGACCTCACTCGATCTCTATCAGAGGTACTTTTCAGTTTTTTAGGAGTTTTATAAGTTTAGGTGGCATTTATTAGTGGTACTAATGCATGCCTGTCCTTGTGTGTTCTCGATAAACTCTTATTCCGAAATTGTCTTTTAAAATTCGCCTGAATTCCTTGACGACCTTCCGATAACAAAATTTTCATTTCACTATCTCTTTGCCTATGAATTCATTCGCATTTACTTCATTATAGCTAAGAAACGATTGTGTCCCACTGACCACTTCCTTATTCCAGTTATTTAGTTAAGAAATTGTCCATAATGCTGCATATATAGGGATTTTGATTTTGAGTAATCGTGCTCGCCTATTGCCCTTCCTAAATTGCAATTCTTCCACGCAAATAATAGAGGAAGAACGTAGAGAGTACGACGTCAATGCTTTTAGTGTGGAAACATCGAATAGAAAATATGGACGTTAACTGCTTCCAGGAATCGAGGCGCGTCAGTTCCAGACCTAAAATATTAGACGTTGGTAAAAGCATAGAAGCACTTGATTCAAGTTGGGTTTATTCACCCTTCCTTTTGCTAATTTTAACTGAAAAGGTTCTTGTTAAATGTGGGTGACATTCGTTAACGATTCTCAGTATTTTGTGGTGAACTTTTCAAAGTAATTTTGTTGTATGTTTTTTTTCGTTTAATTTGCTTATTTTTGGGTGATTCTTCACAGCTATTCATGAAATCAAACGTGTTGACGTGAAAAAATTTTTGATTTACTATATAATTTGCCTTCGACTTAGTGATCTAAAGCATCTGCCTACCATCAGGTGTTGTCTTGACTTAAGGTCTTATGTTTGCTGTCAATTTCTCCTGAACCCCTGACATTTACAGAAATGACAGTGCGGGGGCTCGATTTTAAATTCTCTCTCAGAGGAATATTTCTTTATTCCAATCCATTCTCACATTATTTGTTTCGCGAATGGAAACCTCATGTCATTTCTTTAATTAGTCGTTTTATTACAAGTAAAGAGAGTGTATTGTCATAATCGAAATTAACTAGTTCTAATTTTAAATGATCAAGTTGCACTAAGACGTTTTAGTGTTTAACAGGGGATGTGTAACCACGCCTATTGGAATTATTCGAGTTAACAGCTGAAATGGGTGGTAATCGATAAACACAATGTACTTGTAGATCGAGGTCACCACAGTAAGTAAGTTCACATCAGGTAGGTTGAATTGGACGCCATAGGTATTACCATCTTAGCTGTGTGGTTGTCGATACAATTTAAAGGCCAAAATACAACGAATCATAGTTTTTTTCCAAACTTTCCGTCCCATAGAGTCAATTTTCGCTAGAGGCTGTTGGTCAGTAATTTAACATGACATGAAGTGGACACAGCTTGTTGTCAGATTTCAGGACTAATTATTTCCATGACAATGTAGTTGAGACTAGGATCCTAATGAATCAGTTATTTTATAAGCAAGAGATGGGGTCCTGTTTTGCTTGAATTATCATTTTTCCTCAGACAGAATCTTCCTGAGTAGAAAGTATGGCATGAAGTGTAATTTGATTAAGTCATTGGCTTTTGTGTTTGTGTCTCAACTGAGTTGGGTGCAGTTCTCGAAGTAGACCTTTGCTTTTTATAGAGCAATTATGTTCAATATTGTCTCAAGCAAAATCTGCGACGCTGTGTTTAAATCTGCACTATGGGGTCACCATTTCGCTTTTTATATTCGGATTAGGGCCCACTCGTTGGCGACTCCAGGTATCCCATCACTCACACCTGGTTTGGTCTTAATAGCACTTCCCGATGGACTGAAATGTTTCATAGGATGTCATCTGATAGGAGCCTAGTCTATAGCGATCTGATTACACCTGTGCATGAAAAGCTTAGTCCACATAGTTTGGGTATGATTGACTTCCCCACCTTCAAAGTGTATCAATTTTATCTGTTGTAATGACATACTATCTGGAGTCTTCTGCTACTCCTTGTATCTTCTTAATTATGTTTGATTAAAGGTTTGGCTTAGTTTAGTCCATTGGTGTGAATATATTAAACATTCATCCACATTTTCGATATTCTAGAATGGAAGTAGTAACTTCCACAATTCCTGGCAATCCTCCTCTTATCCGCGATCCCATTCTCGATGCCCAGCTTAAACGCCTTCGGGAAGAAAAGCAGAATCTCTTGGCCTCAGGAATCTACTACGAAGATGACGAGATAATCATGGACTTGGATAAAGAGATTCAGCGCCTACAAGTTGCTATCACAAATAGCGCATAATTGTTTTGCGTGCTAAGTGTTTATTACTACTATAGCGCTTTGATCTTACCCCTCTTCTGTTTTTCCCTTACCACATAGGAATCTGTTGGGACTCCACTCGTTCATTTAGCTTCTCTCCAAGTACTACTTATAATGTCATTTGAGCAGTTTTGTTTTCGAGAACAAACTTGACTCGATTCACATTTTTACCATTCAGCGTGGGTTTTAGAGGATCTGGTATTAAGGTAGGGATAGAAATCTGCCGTCCTTAACTCAGAATCCTTAAAAATGTGGGGCATTATTATATTGCTTGATAGTAATTACAATAAAAAGAAATTAGAGAGGATTTTAGGTCGAAAGAAAGGGATAGAGAGATAATTGGAGGAGCGGGTGGTCACATCTTGAGTCTAAAAATCGATTGATGTACATATTTCTAATAATGCGGGCAAACTAGCTGGATCATCTTATGACGGAGTCAAGTAGAAGCTAATGGTCTATCTCCATGTAGGAGGGTAGGAAATTGCTGTGGACACGAAAGAGTATCAATTTAACAATTGGTAAGATAAATAAGTTAGATTAACATTTAATGGTCAATTGACAGGCCCTACCTAGTTAAAAAGTGTAAGAGCTATTGATGGTCGTGTATGATTGCTAAAAGAATTAACGCTCATTTCGTAATAACTGGTGTATTTTAGTTTTCAAGGACGTTGACGCTAAAACTAGACTCCTTTGAATGATAAAAGTCCGCTTAGGCTTTAGATGAGTTTACAACAAGCTATTGCGTCTTATCTTTACTGATTTAGGTCTCCTGCATTTAAAATACCGAGTGCAGTGAAGTAATGGAAACCAAATGATCCTTAAAGTACCTAGTAACTGCTAAGATTACTCCTTTGAACTGAATACATTATTTTAGTGTAAATAACTTGCCAAAATTTCTTGTCCTATTTAGCAAGGTTCCTTGCAAACATATTTTTGATTGTTATGAAAAAATTCAAAGACTTTTCCAGCTTTTAGTCTGTGGATGAGCTCATAAACATTCTTAGTGAAGTCTTCAACAGGTGCAGAAGGATGAACAGGTGTTGGCACGCACGTTTGGCTGTAGTGACTTTATATTCTCAATTTTAAACAACCGAATTAAAATAAATATTCCAGACTAGATCATTTGAGTAAAATTAATTTATAAAGGTAGCATAAAGTCTAGCATGCCTAAAAATAATGCGATCGTCGTAGTTGTCATTAGTGAATAAGATTTCAATCATGAAAAGTTAATTCAGTTTGGACAAATATGAAAAAATAAAATCTGTTGGCTTACTGATTTGTCTTTTCCTATCTTTCTATTTAATAATTTATGTCGAATTACATGAATATTTAACTTTCCATTCGTAATATGAAATGTCATAAACAGAATGGACAATTTGTAAAAATTTTAGACGCTTGAATTCAACTTAATTTCATAAATAAGCTTACTAATGCCATTTATAATGTTCTGCCCATGTTCAACGATCAGGCATTGATTGAAACTACGATCAATTAAAATATATAAATCGACAGCCAAAGTGTATTGTGGGACACGTTATCACTGTGCTTCATCGTATGCCTGCATGTCTGCTCGCCAGGATTGGGAGGTGCGGCCGTACAACTCTGTGTGCAACGACCGTACTAACAGTGACCAATCATTAACCTCTGTTTAACCTAATCCCCCATCCTGATCATGAGTAGCTCTCTGCGTGTACACTTGATCCGCAATATACGTCCTGAATAAGCGTGCTCCGTGCTACACGTCTGTTTCCTTTATAGCTGGGCTATAGCTTAGCTGGTTCTGGGAGTCAAGCTAGATGCTGGAGAATCTGCCATAGAGATTTCTGAGTCAGTCAGGCTTTAGTAAAGTAGCAATCCGCTACAGTAATATTAGTGGAATAAGGCAAATTAAATTAAGTGAATAGGTATTGAAACGAGCCTTAACGGCTTTCATGAGATTTCCAATTTCCTGGCTTCTTTTATTTATGCGGAATAGCTCAAATTGTAAATTTACATTGAATATTTGCACCCTGGCTGTTTGAGTTCCTAGTGAAACCTCAATTGCTTTGCAAAAACACATAATGAACCTTTCTTTATATAAAGCTGTCATTCTGTGTAAGTTGATGAAAGCGCCAGAAATCATGAAGTGAATTCGGTTACTTTCCTCAAGTTAACTTTATCAGTTGGGTAGTAAATTAGAATCTTTCGGAAGCATTTGTGTCGACATTTTTAGATGAATTCTCATCCTCATCACCTTGATTAAACTTGTAATCTTGTGGCCTTAATTTCGTTGAGATGAAGAATGCTAACTTCACACTAACTGCTACGCACAACACTTCAGAAATCGGCTACGCTCGGGTTCGTGATCTTCAGTGTTTGGAATATTGATAATATCAAACGGTTAACGATGATTGCTTCCAAGAGTTGAAGCATTCATTTTGGTTATCCGACTTCCTAACTCAGTACTATTTCATGATAATCTAGAGTTGGAATCTCCACTTTCTGCCCTCATAGAGCCAGTAAGATGGAAGAAAAATAGTAATTGTGTCGTTCACGGAATTTATACGGAATATTCAACTAATTTCACCAGTTTTATTCGGCAATAATTTCGTTTCGTATACCAAATTGGTACCTACATCGGACTTACTTGCCGACTTTCACCGCTATTAGTAAGGGATGTTTACCCGAAATGTAAATCTAATACATAATAAAGCAAAAAATATAGCATAAGACAATTCTGTAATTTTTTGACATTTACGTTTAGCAAATAACTGCACATAAATTGCCACACCCGCAAACATTATCACCGCCTTTCAACACACATTCGAAGGTGTCCCTATTCGTATTGATTTTATCAGGTCACGAGGGCAATAAATAGTGTATATGGAAATGCTAATCATCAGCCATTTATAATACGGCTAGCTGAAATTTCTGTCCCTTTCTGCTCCAGACGCTTTTCTGTCTCTGCACATAAGTTGAATATTTCCTCGCCAAAGTGTTTGGCCTTAATTTCACTATGACGGATCAGAACAAAGTAGCGTTTCGATAATACCAAGAAAATTGCATGGGTTCTTTTGTGCTAACTTGAAAAAAATTAAGTGGAATATGCTACCCTGAATGTCGTCCATCAGTCAAGGATTAAAATAGGAAAATGGTTCTTTTCAACGTGTTAGAAACTAAAATTTGCCTGTGCATCGGTGCAAGATGCATTGCGTGTGAAATGCTTTCCGTGGATATTCCTCATAGGCTATTGTATGGTCCACAGAGTTGTACAGTATTTTTCTGTTAACATAATGCTTAATTAACGCACTCTGATTTTAAAAGTTTAAACTGAAAATACAGAGCCCCCATAAGCCCACAACCAGAATTGTTTAAGCACTTCGTTTCACTGATGAAGATCAGGTAGTATGCGATA